TTTTCATATGAACGCACTATAAAAAAAAAAAAAAAAAAATAAGCAAAGAAAAGAGTTTATGAGCATCTCATAAAACAAAAATTTATCTATTATAAATTATAGTAAATATAATTATTCTTTAATCTAAAAAAAAAAAAAAGGATTTTAATTCTTTAAAAATAATAAGCGAGCTTAGTCATAAAATAAAAATATTTTAAAATGTGTGCTATTCAGTAGATTATAGTATTCAATCATTTAGAATGCTTTTATTTTTTTTTTTACATAAAAGTAAAATAAAATTATTTTCTTTTTACTATTATTTTAATACATATTAATCTATAAAAATATCAATAAATAAAAAATTCGTCTTAAAAAAAGGTTGATAGCAATTTCTTATACAAATTAAAAAAAAAAAAAAAAACATCCGAGAAAAATGATAAATAGCTATGAAATGTTTATATATTAATTATTGCCTAATCAAATTGAAAGTAATAAACATTGCCTACAAAAAAAAATATAGCAGAAGCATTGTTTATAAGCATGCAATGATAAAATAAAATACTGTTTAAGTATTTTTCTTTTTTTGAAATTAATTTTGTTTACCTATTTATTTGATAATTTCTTTTTATTTATCTTTTAATAATTTCTTAAAAAAAATTTTGATTACATTCTTCATATTTTTTTTTTTTTTTTTGCAAAACCTTTAAGTAATTATATGAAAAAAAAAATAAGAAAAGTATATGAATTATTTTTACTAAACCTTTTATGATGGATGATAATTTTGTGAATGAAGATGATGAACAATTAATGAAAACATTATTGAAAAATAAACCAGCAGTAATTAAATTTTTAATAAAAAGAGAAATTATAATACCTATAATAAATCCAAAAAATATATATTTATAATTTTTTTATATACATAATACAAATTTCTCTATTTTTTCAGTTCAGTGAAGATATAATTGATTTTTATCTTTCTTATAATGGATGCAAAGTTAATGAAAAATCTTGTTTAAGATTAATTTCTCTGGTTTTACATAAATCATTAGACAATGTAACTATAGAGAAAATTAAAATTCATAATAAAATATATCATATTAATGAAACATTTAAATTATTTTAAAATATTCATTTCTACAACTTTATACAGATAATAAACAAAGCTCTTAATATACAATCCACTGAAACGTCTTCTAATAAAAAAGAAGTTAAAAATATATCTAAAGTATGTTGTATTATGAAATAAATAATGAAAAAATTTTAGTGACATACAATTTAATTATATTAAAAATATTTACCTTCATAATTTAGTACTCATTTATATATATATATATATTTATATTTATATATTTTTTGAATTGTAGGAAAAAGAATTAAATTATAAAGATTTAATTAAAGCATTAAAAGAATATGATGAAAACTATGAAAATGAAGAAATATTTAAAAACTTTAATGTATTTTTAGAATAGAAGAAAATAACGTTCTAAGTATTTATAATAAAGAAATATTATGAAAATCTTGTTTTCTTTTGCTGCTTTTCTTGAATTTTAAGTTAATAAAAAATACAGTTTCGTATTTATTTATTATTTTATTTATTTTTTTTTTTTTTTGTTAAACATAAATAATCAATTCATATTAAACTATAAACTTAGTTAAAAATAGGTATGAAAACAAACTAAAATGAAAAGTATAAAAATTTATATAAAATAAAAATTCAAATTTTTAATGTTATAAGAAAATATAAAGATCCTCATACATATGTTTACAAATATACACATTTTAATATATTTAAAATCTCCTTTTTCTTTTTCTTCCGGTGTATTTGCTATCTCTTTTTACTTCTAGTCCCTAAATTATGATAAAAAAAAAAAAAAGTATATTGAACTTTTAAACTCCAAAAGAAATATATAAATCATGAAATTAAAAATGAAACATTGCTTACCTTCATTCTTCTTTGCTCTTTTTTTTTCATGATCCATTCTTTATTTTTTTTAATTTGTTTTTTTGTTTTTTTATTAAATCTATATTAGAATTTATATAAATATAATTTTTTTTTTAAGTAAAGATGTAATATATTAATATAATTTATAATAATATTTTTCTTCAAATTAAAAATAAAAAGTATTTAAAAAAAAATTTTTTTTTTAAATATCTATTTACCTTCTTTTTTCATGAGAAATCACTTCATCTTCATCTTTTATGGCTTCAGGTAATTTGGGAATAATTGATGATCCTGCCCATAAACATAAATAATATCTATAAAAAAAAAAAAAAATAAAATAAAATATATTAAATATAATTACATTTATATGAAATTTATAAAAAAAAATTCATATATGAATATAATTTTATTTTTTTATCCATATATGGAAATTAACTTTTTTGATTTGGCTGAATTTGGGAAATCGACAACAACACCACCACCAAAACCAGATTTCATAGCAAAATTAGTTAAGGTTTCTATTTGTTCAGCTGAATCTGGATAAAATTGAAATACCTATAAATCATTTTAATAATAAAATTTGTTCAAATCTTAATATCATATATAAACCAATTTTTAATATAGATACATTCTCTTATTTTTTTTCTTTGTATATTGTTATAATTTTGTTTAATTAATAATATTTTATAATTATATATGTATAAACTTTTTTTTTTTTTTTTTTTTTTTTTTTTTCTTTACAGCTCTAGCTCCTTTTCTAAGGCAATTATATAGCCATTTAAAAAATGTGTTAATTCTTGCAATAGGATTTTCATCTTTTTTGTCCCAATTGCATAACCATTGCAAAGCTGATATACTAAATTAAAATATCATTTATTATTTTGTAAATATAATATGTTTATAAAATTTATTTGTAATTATATATATATATATATATGCTGAACATTTTAAACTTCTTAATATTGTGTCAATAAAAATAAAATATTTTTATAAGAACCTGACTACTCCATCAAAAATACAAGATTGAAATCTCATTACTAATTCATAAAAAAAAAAAAAAAAAAAAAAAATGAATAAGAAAGTATTAACAAGTTAAAATGTTAAAGTTAAATGAAGAAAATTGTGAGAATAAATAATATTATTAATGTATAATTCAAATTAAATTATATATTAAGATTCTCTTTTATATATATATATATATTGGTATTACATTTTCCCATATCTGATAAAATCATTTCTCCTCCAAGGTGGGCTTCATTTTGTAGGCCCGCTCCTTAATAAAATAAAAATTATAAAACTTTTTTTATTATATGATAATAAAATTAGAAATAAAATAAGAAAAAAATAATTTTACTTATCATATGAATGCTTATATCTATTCCTATCCAGAAATGATCTGATTCATTTAATGTCATACCACTTATACCTGATCCACACCCAATATCTAATAATAAACACGGTGTCTTTATAAAAAATAAAATTAAATATTTAAATGAATGTGAAAATTATTAATTAAAATATATTTAAAATTTAAATTTTATTTTTACATACATCAGGTAATACAAGTAATTCCAATGCTCTTTCAGTCATTTTAGATTGTATATCCCTAATTCTTGAATTTCTAACATATTTTTTTGCCTCATCTTCATTGTAAAACTACAAGAAATTAATATTAATTCAAAATAAATATATATTTTTTTCTCTATGTTTTTTATTTAAAATTTTTTATATTTTATATATACAATTTCTGGAGGCGAAGTATATTCAGGTCTAACCATTTCAATTATTATAATATTATATATTTTAAATTCATTTATTATATTTATTTATATTTTTACGTTAATTTTGTAAATAATTTATAACAAAAAAAAAAAAAAAATAAATAAATAAATAAAAAAATATAAATGTATAAAACAATCATATCAGTTTTATATAATTTTGTAATTTACTTCATTCTTAATAATTATAAATATTTTTTTATTTTTATTATAAATTTATTATTTGGTTTCTTAAATAATATTTTAATTGCTTAAAATTTATATTTTTTTCTTGAAGGATGTTTATTCAAAAATTAAACAACACATTTTTATATGTATTATAAACAATTAAAATCATAAAAAAAAAAAAAAAAAATAAAAATCTTTAAATGTTATAAGAATTCATTTGTTTGATTTTATCTTACTTAAAATATATTAAGAAAAATATTTATTTTTTATTTCTTTTATTTTCACTTTCATTTTCTCTTTTTCCTTGTAAATATATGAAATTACATATTTAGTTTTATAAATTTATAGATTTTTTTTAATTAGAATTTTTTTTTTTTTTTTTTTATGTTGTTAAAGATTTTATAACTAGCTATTTAAAGAAAAAAAGGTATATTTTTTGTATTTTTATAAAGTATGCATTTACAATATATTAATTATTTTGACTTTAACATTTATTTTGCAGTTTTACTTCTTTGTTATCTTTGATTTGAAAAAAGAAAAGAAGGTATCATCTTTTTAATATTAACAACTTTAGTAGAAATTTTACTATTATTCTAAATTTCATCTTAAAAATATAAGGAAAAATAAAATATATTTAAATAAAAATATTTCAATGCATATTAGGAATTGTTTATATCTCAAAACTTTTATTTGTTATAGCAGATTATCTTTTTTTTTTTTTTTTTTACATATTATTTTCATGAAAATTAATTAATTTGTTTACCTTTTTTTTCCTTCAAAATATAAGATTTTGATTATCTAAATAGATAAATAAAATTTTTTTGTTTTTTCTTGAAATTTTGTATGTTTTATTTCCTTTATTATATTTAAATTTAATAAAATGATACACATAAAAATTAATTTATGCAAATAAAAATGGAAATTATCTATGGAAAATTAAAGAAAATTATTTTCTTCATAAATTTTTAATTATATGCTTAAAAAATGATTATATTAATACTTATATGTGTAGTTTTATTTTCCCTTTTTTTTTTTTTTTTTTTTTTTTTTTTTTTTTTTTTTTTTTTTTTTTTTTT